CAAAAACCTCCTGAGGGGACCAAAGTCACCTGAGGGGACCCAAAGGAGACAAAAGCCACCTGTGAGGACCCAAAAACCTCCTGAGGGACCCAAAGCCACCTGAGGGTGACCCAAAAACCTCCTGGTGGAGACCCAAAGCCACCTGGGGGTGACCCCCAAGCCTCACCTGCTTGAGGTGGTCGACGGTGAGCGGGAGGTGCTGCAGGGTGAGCAGGATCTGCTGCAGGAAGGGCACGTTGTTGTTGGCCTTGGAGCCCGTGAGCCACGTGTTGAGCAGCTTGTACCCCCCGATGCGGATAAACCTGGGCAGGGAGCAGGGAACAAACCCCTGAGGGTCCCACCAGGAACTCTGAGGGGGAAGAAAGGAGAGCCCCCCCCACAAATCCCTCCCTACTCACTTGGCCAGGATGTCCTGGGCCCGAGTTTGCAGGAGGATGTTCAGGTAGATGCAGCGACTCACCATCTTCTGGGAGTCCTTCATCAGGCTGAGGGGGACAAAGAGGTGTCAGAGCCCAAACTGGTGAGGGCACCACGGGCCAGGGGCACAGAGGGGCTGGGCTGGGCTCACCTGAAGATTTTGGAGATGCCATCCATGGTCTTGACCTCCCCATCGCGGCCCAGGAAGCAATCCAAGCCCTTGAGGAGCTCCTTGGGGTCGATGGGGCCTGAGCCCATGGCAGAAACACCCTGGGGAGGGGCGAGAACAAGGGGGATAAGACAATGGGGACCCCCCCCACGTGTCCCCCCCAAGTCGTGTCCTTCGCCCTACACCTCTGCGACACCTCCTGACACGTGTCTGACCCCAAAAATGGGGTGAGCCCCCCCAAAAATACAACAGCCACGAGGTGTGGGGAACAGAGGGACCCCCAAAAGGCACTGGGGGGGTCACCACTCCCCGAGGGGACACACTGACAACAAGCTGGGGCACCAATGAGCTCAAGGAGGAGTTGGGGTCCCCCCACCGGGCAACCCCCCCCCCCAAAATGAGCAGGGGGAGGGTTGAGGGGGCACAGCACCCCCTTTTTCACCCCCTCCTTAATTAACAAGGGTTAGTTAATCAAGCAGTTGGCACTTAACGAGGTGACATGGCAGAGACAGCAGCAACAGCAGAGTTTGGGGTGTCACCCCCTTCCCTCCCCCCCCTTAATCCAGGCCATAATTAAACCCCCTGACTAATCACCAAGCTATTCATTACCAGCTCGTTAAGAAGGGCCAAGCCTTCCCTTTAATGACCCTACACCCACCAGGCCCTGACCCCAATCCGGCCTGGCCCCCCCGGGGGGGGTTCAGCTTCTGACATCAGCAGCTGCTTCATCAATGCTAATTGAGGCTTAATTATGCCCTAGTTTCCTTAACGAAGGCACAAAGGAAGGAGGGGGTTGGGAAGGGTTGAAGCTAAGGGGGGAGAACCCCCAAAATACCTCCTAAAACCCCAATCTGGGGGGACACAGCTCTGTTTGTTCCTCCTGCTGAGGCCTTAATGAGGCAGCTCCTCATTAAGTGCCCCCCCCAAGTTAATTAAGGGCTGTGGAATCCCTTCTTATCTTGGGGGGCAGGAGAAGTTGAGCACAGCACAAGCCACCCCCTCTGCAAAGACACAACAGCAAGTTAAGCCAAGCACAAACCCCCCAAAATACACCCAAATCCCCCCAAAATACACCACAATCCCCCCCAAAATACACCTCAGTTTGGGAGGGAGAGCAATTCATGTTCCCCAAATTGGCTCTTTTAAGCACCAAACTTCACTGTAACCTTTGACCTGTCCAAAAAAGCACAAGCCACCCCCTCTGCAAAGACACAACAGCAAGTTAAGCCAAGCACAAACCCCCCAAAATACACCCAAATCCCCCCAAAATACACCACAATCCCCCCCAAAATACACCTCAGTTTGGGAGGGAGAGCAATTCATGTTCCCCAAATTGGCTCTTTTAAGCACCAAACTTCACTGTAACCTTTGACCTGTCCAAAAAAAGAGCCAAGGCCTAGTAACTTTGGGGGGGTCACCTCGTGTTTGTCCCCCCCAAAATATCCCAGGGGGGATCAAAACCACCATCGAGCCCTGGGGAAGGTGTGGGGGGAACAACACCCCAAAATTTGGGGGGATTTAACCCCAGTTCAGTGTCTACACACACAGATTTTGGGGGTCACACAGCAGCAAGACCAACCTAACCCCCCAGAGAGGCACTGACACCCCAAGGGGGGGAAAAGGGGCCTGAGGGACCCCAAAAAAAGCAACTCAAGAGGAGGAAAATTCCCTCTAAAGAACATGGGAAGGGCAAATTCCCCCAAATTCCCCTGAGGGGAAGAACACACACCCAGACAAGCCCAGCAAGGCCTAACCCCCCCAAAAATCTCCATTTTTTGGCTCATTTTACCCCAAAACCACCTTTTGGTGGGGCAGAACCCCCAGCTGGGCCTAGAGGAACCCCAAATTTCCCAAGGGGAAATGCTACCACTGGGGAGCAAAGATTTCAGCCCCTAAGCTTGATTTTTTGGAGGGGGAAATTAGCACCAAATCAACCATTTTACAACCCCCGAAAAAAAAAAAAGTATCTAATTTCGTTCAACATTTTTCCAACTTTTCACCCGAATCCTTCAGATCTAAGGATTTTTTTTTTTTAGCTGACAAAGGAAGGGAAAAGCCACCCAAAAGTGACCACATGCACCAAGACACCAAAAAAAAGGGAGGGGGGGAAACAAAAAAAAGAGAATTTAAGGGCGATTTTTTTTTTTTTTGCTGCCAAAAAACCTCCAAATTCCCAGGGCGAAATGAAGAGGGGGGAAAAAAAAACAAAAAAACCAAAGTTTTGTTGCTTACCCGTAGGTTTGTGGCTGTTCCCTCCCTTTTGCTGAGGTAAAGTTGCCTAAAGCCTGCACCTCCTCGCTGCCAAAACGGGGAGAACCCCCCAAAAACGACCCCAAACACACAACTCTGGGGGGGAAACTGCCCCCACACCCCAAAAATTCCTAGTGCCTTTTGGGGGGGGAAGCCCAGTGGTAGCATTTCCCTGTCGTGACAAATTCCAGGTTAGGAGTCGCTGCTTTTCTCTCTACCCCCAAAAAGAAAC